GGATATCATGATACACGATAAGAAGCGACGTGAAGTAATCCTGATTGAAGTTGGCATCACTAGTTAGGAGAGATTAACAGCAGTCGAGACCGAGAAAAAGAGGAAATATGACCGACTTGCTAATAATCTTGGGCCAGAAATGAAATGTAGGACGAAAACAATTCCAAATGTGATGACTTGGGATGGGATTGTAACGAACTTTTACAAACGCTATGCGAAGGAGATTAGTATATCAGACCACGTCCAGGCTTAAATTCAATCGACAGTTCTCAAGGAGACGCTGGAAAGCATCTACTTCGACAGTCGATATGGATCCCACGAGGACGAAGCGAGAACGATGAGCAAAACAAATCTGAGCATGGAACAAGTACTGCCAGAGTGCCGCAATGTGATCCAGCGCCGGAACCAATAAAGCGAAATTTAAAACTGACATCCACATTTTATTTTATTTGAAATTTTTAATATGTAAGCTTAATATTCTACTTTCTGTAAATGTTATGCGAATTTGAATAATTATGTGCATAATTTTATATTTGGAAAAAATGCATGTAAATGTGTAAATGTGCTCTCATCACTATGTAAATATGTAAACATATATAGGTGCATATCTTATAAATTTGTGTGTGTTGTTTAAGTTCTTTGTTAACTAATGATAAGATATTGCTCGACTACCCAATAAAGCAGTATGTATTAATGCCTTTGGTGCAAAAGAAGTCGCGATATATTGAAATAGAGAGAATGAGAAGGGGTCTGCAAGAATTCTTCTGTTAAAGATGAATCAAACTTTCAGTTAAAAGTTCCGTACATGAGTAAGGAAGGACAGCATCTTAAGAGATCATGCAAGTTGTCACTTGAATCATCTATGCTCGGAGAGAGTTCCAGTTCTCAGCAGCATTTTGACACCGAACCAGTGGGAACTCAATTTACCTGCACCCAGTTGAAATTGCTATTTGGTATTGGTTAATGTTGGTTTCAACTAGTATCAGTTTTGTTTCTTACTTTGTAGAAAGAATGTTGGTGGAACAGCAAAATCGGGTACTATCGATTGCTATGGAAGCATTAGTACAAGATTTTGAACCACGAGATGCGATTCCATTTATGTGCTCAAAGGATATCTTCAATGATGATCAGCAAGAAATCATTCTTGCTTTGGCAAGTTATTTTCTGTAATTTCACTTGCTTATTAATTTGTTATGCTCTTTTACTTGTTTTCTCATTTATACTTATTTAACTGCATATACTTATATGTTTCTGATTTCTTTCATTTTTTATTTCGAAAGACAGTAGATGATTTTATATAATATTAGGTTACTTTTTAATGCATTAAGTTCATACAGTAAAATAGTATCATATCTGATGCATGTTGAAAGTTATATTTGTTAAAGTAACGATCTGAAGATTATAACGGAAATTTAAAATCAAATTTAGAGAAGTCTTCATTGTACATTGATGTACTTGCATTTTATGAATTTACTTTTAGCCCAGACGTACTCTGCGCGTGATGGAATTTCTCAGACAGTACCGGAAAGCAGCAAACTCACTTGATCCACTGATAAAGTATTTTGAACAGTATGGTCAAAAACATTTGGCATGTCTTTTGTCAAAAGAATATGTACCAGATGAGCGACCTCTGTTATCATCTAATGATTTGGAAGATCGGCTTTTCAAAGATGGTCATGTACCAAGATTACCGTCTTATTGTATAATGCGCACAAATCTACTGGAAAAATTAAAGAATTTGTTAATCGACTTATCATTTCGTGGTTCGTGAAAATTTTGTTTGTTTTTCACATAGATTTTTGTAGCTTTTTCTTAACTCTCAGACTGAAAATATTTTTCGTTACAGTTGTCAGTGTAGAAATTTTTCAACCACCAAAATAATGAAACTATCATTCAATCCCGGGATGAATGTTTTTAGGTGTGTTTTTCTCAGAAGTGATCTTTTTTGTATTAGACTGGAATTTCAGAAAAATTGGATCTGATTATTTTTTCATTGTAAAAAAAGAATGCCATTTTAAAAAAATAAAAGTTTTTCCTTATGAAGCAATTTATATACTGCCATTCGTTTTTCAGAATCAAAACTTCAAATCGTGGTTATGATTTGAACTTTTGATTTTTTCGTATGGAGAAAACTTTTACTGCAAAATAAAGTGTTGAAACTTCAAATGGTTTTGATAAGCTTTGCATTCACTATTCTAATTGTGATTGCTTCTAAAAATTTCTCGAACTAGAATGTCGTTTGAACTGTTAATATTTTCTTCATTAATTTCAAATCAATTTTTGATCTGTTATGTAATTTTTAATCCATTATGCTTATTTTCTGACCAATTATTGCAGATCATTTTTGGCTAATTGTTCATGGATTTCCTGGATGTGGCAAAAGTTTTTTGGCTTCATCTGTTTTGCAAGCATACCCAATATTGTTAAGTCGGTGAGATCATTTATTCATAAAACTGCTGCACTTAATCTGTAGTATATATAAATTTTCTATAAATTCTATAAAATCCTTTTACAGATAAGAATTAAGAACATATCTTGTACTGTTTTTTTACTTATCTGCGTTAAGGATCTCGGCTTTATGTGTGATTCACACTGTTTAGTTGGAAAAATTTTTGAGAAAAAAATTCTTTAAATTATCTGATTAAAATTAACTGAAAATCAATTTTTTGCTTAAGATATTATGAACATGTTATATGGGTTGAAGATGGTCGTACTAATAGAAGTCAAGTGTCAGATGTCATTTCAAATTTTGTGTTTTTGGCGACTGATGCTCTGTTTTTAACAGGAAAAGAAACAGTTGCTCAGTTTTTACCTATGGGGAGTTTTTTTTTTTCTTTTTTTTTTTTGAAAATTCGTGTTTATGAGCATTCCAATAAGTATTTCGCAACATATTTATTTGCAGCACGTGTTTTCAAGCATTTGTACTACTCATCACATTAACTTTTAAATTTATATTCTTGTAACTAGTGTTACGAGAATATCTAATAAATATATATTTGTATTTATCATCATAAATACTTTTGTAAAATTTGTCCATTTTTGCACTACAAATCAGGTGTCTGAGGCTTATTTTTGAGCGCTTATGACAAATATAATACACATTTATTTTTTTGAATTTTAAAAAGTTTCTGCTGTTGAAACACTTAATCATCCTGAGTGCAAAGAAATGAAACTGACTCTTTTACAAATGTTATAATATTATGTGTATTTTATAAATTCATTGAATATGGTGCTCTAGGATATTGTTGTATCATATAAATTTTCAGGCAAAGGCTGCACTACGTGAGAAGCCAAATACTTTAGTAGTATTAAATGATGTATATCTTCAAAAAATTGTTCGCTGGTTTGATAAACTCAATGTTAGTTTTTTGAATCATTAGGTGGTAGGTGTGACTTTTCGGACCTTGAAGAACGAAAGTAAATGTAATATTTATTATCATTGAAATATTCATCAACATGAATTTTTAGAGTAGTAATTCCTCATTGATATTTTTCATGTTATCGTGGTGAAGTAGTAGTTTTTTATGCTGTGAAATCTAAATAGTTTTCTTGAAAGTAAGGAAAGTTTTCTGAAATCTGAAAAATGATTGCAGTGCCGCATTCTTGCAACAAGTCGTAATGTGGATATATTTCAAGTTTGTTACTCAAATCCTGTATATTTTTCTATCGATCCACCTGGTTTGTCTTTGTCAGAAACAGAGATGATGTTCAAAGAATTACATTCTTCGAATTTGGAAATTTCTCTTTGCAATGATTCACAACTTTGCCATATTCATAAGAAAACGATGGGGCTACCTGCACTTCTAGGCATACTCAGGCAACAGATATGCAGTGATCACAACAAGTATAATCTTTGGTTACTTCTTTAAATCTGTTTGAGAAATACAGCATGTTTTCATGAAACTGCATAACACTGTAATTGGGCCAGTTTTTTCTGTATTCGAAAATTAATGAATTGTTTGTTTCTCAAGCTCTGTAAAAGCATGATAAAAGGCAAAAACATTTAAAAGCATTTAATATTTGAATCCCCAAATTTTTTTTCAGTTTTCATAACTTGCTCTCTATGCTGAATTATTGTAGTATTGCCGCTATATCGAATTTTACTTATTATAATCATAAGAATATGATTTCTGCCATTATGGAGTCTTATAAACTCGTAAGTTTTTTAGCGAAAGTAGTATTTTGTTTAAGCACTACTTGGTCAATCTGTGTTTCGTTTCAGGTTTTTTAATTCAAATTTTTTTCAAATAAATTTTAATACTGTGGATGCAACATTTAAAAAATTTCAAAGTTAGTTATGTATTTTATAATACGGTATTTCATATTTCATAATACAATCAAGCACAATTAGTTTTCAGTACTCAGAACTTTGGCACAGATTTTAAAAAGCTTGAAATTTCACTTTACATCTAATTATTGTTCTATTTGAAGTTCCATAAATTAAAAAAATGTGTTTTCCAGTATTTATTTAGTGCCAGTTTGTTTTGGGAATATTAGATAATCTTTTTATGTCTTTGCTTACTATCAAATAGAAATAATTTTCATATGTATTCACTGATGTGATGTGATTCCATATGTTCAGTATCGAATTTCACATACTCCTTTCCATCTTAAGATTTTCTTTTTATTCTTATGGAGAATTTTGATGTAGGAATTATTCATAATATTCTTCATTATTTTATTGAATTTTCAGTTAACGAAACGACAAAAAGTACTGATGGAAACTTTCATCATTTTCGGCCCAGATGAGTGGATACCGCTTGAGGTGCTTTTTTCTTTAATGTATCAAATTTTTGACTGAAAGATCAGTTGTTTCCTTTTGCGTTCGGTTACTCGGTTACTCAGAGAAGTTTGTAATTTATATGAGAGACAAAACATGAATGCAGCTTTTTATGTGACGTTTTGCATTGAGTTGCGCTTGTTTCTCATAAAATTAAGAACGTCAACTTTAATGCAATATTGATTTTTCAGTTTATTTCTTTGTGCATTGCGTTTGATATATGTGGAACAAATGATGTTTCGTGTATAGTTTTGCAAGAATTAAAGCCGTTGATCAATGCATCGTTAGTGAATGAACGTATTATTGATTGCAGCGTTAACTCAAGTTATACTCGTCCTTTATTTTATGATTACCAAATTAATTCTATTATGCATTCTTTCTTATGCACCATAGTTGACCGTCAGGTATTTGAAGTAAGTTTATTTTCATTCAGCTTTTGCTAGATTCAGGAAATAATACTTATTCAGATTGCAGAGCAGAAAATCTTTTAAAATTAAACGATATGGAAATAAATGTAATAATATGCACATAGAATTACCGCTAATAAATTACTGTTTAATATTTTTCTCTTTGAGATTCTGACAAATAAGGTAACTCTCTTATTATCAGGTTTACTTTGAAATCTAAATTCATTTGTGGTTTACTTCAGAACTACTTTCACTCTTTTATTCGTCCCAGTGTTTCGACATTCTTGTCACAAGCTCGGTGCAGAGATACAGATTTCATGCAGCGTGTCCAGTCATTTATTGATCTCCATCCACTTTTATTTCAAGAAATACCTTATGAAAACTGTCTTCAATCCGAATTAGCTAAGCAGTATGTTCAGGAGGGATTGCATATTTCGTTCACTGATTCAGAACAATTAAAAGATCAAAATATAAAAAAGGCTGCTCGAAGTTGGAGTGACATTTGCATTTTTATGTAAGACATTGAGAATATCTTCAAAATTTATTTCACTTATGTCTTAAAATTTCTGGAAATGATTTTTTTCAAAGTTGTCTGAATGTGTCTTGTAAAGGAATTTCCAGAATTTTGTGATCTCTAAAATTATGTTCAAATCTTAGTCTTTGTTATCAAATCTATATCATTCACTAAGTCTATCGGTATCTGTTATTTTAGTAGTGAATTAATAACGCTACTAAATACTTGATCTTTTCATTATATTATGATTAGACTAGTTATTAAGATTTTGATTTGTTGATTTTTGTTCTTAGTTAACTTTATTGTGCATCTTATCTTATCTCTGCAATCGAATATAATTTCCATTTTCAACATTCCACGGTTGTTTCTTTTCTTGTTTTGCTTGTCAAGTCATACATCATAATTATTTGAGGTAATTTTGTGTATATATTTTTTATTCCATAATTATAGACATTGACCTTTATTCATTTTCACGACCTCATTATTCGTCGCTTATATTGATTCTGAAATTTTTGTTCATTGAAAGAATTTATCGGACGAAACGACAAATGTGATAAAAATACGACATAAATTATTCAGTTGTTGTTGGGAGATTATTAAACGTACAGTTGTAAATAATAAATAACTTTAATTTATCGCTTTTTTTTTTTGTCTTTTGAGTCGGCCATTCATTTTTCTCCCTTCTGCTACATTTTTACATTCGTCACACTCATATCAGAAGTAACAAGGATATTAATGCAAGTTAATTACACAATTGCGACGAAATACGTGAAAAATGGATGAATGAAAGCAGTCGCAGAATTAATACTAGTTATACAATGATCAGTAAACATTTGATTTTTAATTTGCGTATGCTGACAGATCCTTTGCAATATGTTTGGTAACAATACTCTTCTATACTTTTATAATATATAATTATATGACTGTAAGTTCAATTTGTTTTGCTTCTAACATCCGTTAGGATGGATGGCTTCCTAAACAAATAAAACTCTCGGTCAGCAACTGATGTGAAAGACGACTTCTGTGGTGAATGATTACTACTGCTCTTGACACAATGAATCAGGCCAGTAGAACTAAGTTTTTCTACATTCCTTTATTTGAGATCTTTGCCCTACTCAGAAACACCTTACTAAAGTATGGTGCTTGAGGCTTTCAGCTCACACTATATTCAAATTCTTGCTTTCAAAGTCTTGGCGTTTACTATTTTCTATTACTTTCGAAGTACTTCCATTCATTCTCCCTTTAGACGCATAAATTTTTTGTTTCTATTATGCAGTGTACAGTTTCAAAATCCATATTTGATTTACGTTGTTTATTAGACTAATTTTGCTGTTCACTGTGGCATTGGCTATTGATATGACAAGCACTTCTAACGAAGTAGTTGAATTTTGCGCATATTCATTCTACTAAATATGAGAGTTGTCAATCTTTCGAAAAATCTATGCTTCATGTAACAATATGTTAAACAGCATTTTGCTGTAAGTTTGTAGAAACAATCATGCTATCAGTACTTGAAAGTTATTTTCAATTGATGTCATTCTTGAATCTTCCAGAGATAAATGGTTTGTTTTCTGAATTATTGATGATCAAAGGCATCATTTGAAGTAATTCCTCCTTTATATTAGTCTGGAAATTTAAATAAATAATTGTATATAAATCCTAGTCATGTACAACTTTAATTATTATTGTTTATATGCTAAAGAAAGCAGCGGCAGTGGTTTTCTGATCGCTTACAAAGTATGGGTGGTTATATTTACTTTATCACATTAAAAGCGGGAAATTTAAAATCAGTATTAGTGCTATGAGTAATGTTCCTCTGCATTACATCTCTAAAGATGTGAATGTGTCATGAGTGATAACTTCATTTGAAAAATGATTATTCCGCTTGTAAACATCAACTACTGTTTGAACTAAAAAAAGACTACCATGGAAAGTTCGTTAATATTATTGGTTGATTTTGATACTTACAGTTAAGTATGCAAACGGCAAATGAAGATCACTCAAAATACGACAGGTATGACGAATAATTTCTCAAACATTTAAAAATTACATCCAGGAGTGTCTAACTTTTTTCACTGCTTTGATATTCCAGTTAATTTTCTCGCTACCTTTTATCAAAGGTATCATCAATATGAATAAATGCTGAGAAGATTCAGAACAGATTAAAATCTAAAAGTATCGAGACTTCTGTTCAAAAGTTTTATTTTTTTAAATAAAAACTTTTGGAAAATTTATTCTCAATCTGACTAAGAGGAAATCATTCTTAATCTAATCCAAGTTGGCAGGGCAATATTGATGAAATTTCTGCGTACTTCTGATGCCCCTAACACAGCTCGAGTTAAATTGTTAATGTACAATATCACTGGACGACCAATCATCTACAAGTTGAAAAGCAAAACAAAATCTTTGTTGACGGTTCCTGTTCTATTTTAATTTTTACAGCTGCTATTGTTTGACTGTATATTTGAGTAGAATATAAGACTGGTCAGAAGAAAATAGAATTAATTACTGATATTGTTTAGGCGGATCCAAGTGCGTGTGGCACAATCCCAGCACATGGTATTGATCATTGTTTGCTGATTTGGAGATTGCCAGCAAATGAGCTTAATTGGGAGAATGTTAAGCCAACTTCTATAGTTATGATTACTGAATTTGAAGGCTCAAACGATCCAGTTACCAACGAACATACAAAAACCAAGATAAAATGCATAATAATAATAATTATTATTAGTCATCGAATTTAAAGCTTTTTGTTAAGCAACTTTAATTGTTTAGCTCTCTGTTTATACTGTAAAACAACAACTGATTTTTTTTGATCAGTAAATTATATCATTTGAGTCACCGACCTTAATAATATTATATAAGTTTACTCACAAAAAGAAATCCATGAGGTGAAAATTAGACAGAGATGTTATAGCACTGAATTTGCTGCTCTTAGGTTCAAGAAGAAGAAAGGAGATTTAACTTCAGGTCGAATATCTAACTCAGGTTTTTGTACAATAGAGAATCCTGCTGAGGAGCATGTAACTTTCAAAAGTTCTTTGAATTCGATGCAAGTCGAAAATTCAAGTTCAAGTATTAGTCCGAAATATAAGTTCGATATATTAGCAATGTTTGTTTCATCGCAAAATTTTGCAGAATTATTAAAAAAACTATGCATAAAAAGTATTTCATGAATGCATAAACTGCGCTTCTGATTCATCCCTCGATGAGATTATTCTTGCTCTGTGCTATAATTTGATATTCTGAAAATTTTTAACAGCAAATTTGGCCAAAAAAAACCTGAAAAAATCACTTTTTAAAATGCTATTTTACCTTTAAAAATGTTGAAGAAATCATTTTCAATTTTAATACATCGCTGGAAAGCAATTACCTGGTTTTATTATTATAATATTGAAGGAAAGTGACGTTATTTTGACAAAAAAATTAATAAATACAATGAAATAATTACAATTATGCTAGTTGTAATATTTTTGATTTTATTTTGCTTAAAAAATTTTCACTTACAAATTTTACAGCTTAAATGACAATAATCGGAAAGTTTCCAAACAAAAGCAAAGTTCTAACGATGGATTGCAAGAGATATGTATGGAAGTTAAAGGCATTATAATAATTATACTTTTGATTGTTATATTGAGTATATGCGTGCATATGTTATTGAATACTAGGCGAAAAGTTTGAATAATATGTAAAGATTTTCTGTATTATTAGTTTGTTTTTCTAAACGAGCAATAAGTAATATAATATTTTAGTTCCGTTTTTTTTGAATTGTCAATAATTTTTCAGAGGTATTTATTTCTTCATAAATTATTTTAATCACTTAACAAATTTAATTACCCGAAAGGGGTCAACATTTCAGAAAGCAAATTGCACAATTTTTAAGATTATTCAGATCATTCTATGCTAGCTATATTTTGTTATAAGTGTTGTAGTAGATATATGCTTTGTAACATAATATGTTTTGATGAAAGCATTCAAAGATATTCAAATAAACAATAAATCCATTTTTCAAGATTTCTGTTGGAAGTATGAGATGTTCTAGGAGAGAAGGAGAGAATTTTGTTGGCTTCCAATTTTTTGTCTCTCAATGTTCCAGTCTCAATTAATTACTTCTGAATTTTCATATCTGAATTGAAAAATGCTTCCAAATTTCAAGGAATTGCATCCAGGCACTTTCTTTAAAAACTGAATTTACATTATTCATTCCAAAGTTCAAAAGAAAAAAATTTAATAAATGACAGTTCTTTGTTTGACTGAAATGTTTACGTACGGTTTATTCTCACTGCTAGCAATTTCTTCACTTGGCTCAGCGAAAAATTCGGTTTGAGAACTTTCTATGCAAATTTGGTTGAAACTTTATATAAAAAATTTGAGTGTGAAGATAGTTAGTTACAGTTAAGTAACTATTAGTTAGCAATTAGTTTGGATAAAAATATTTTACCACAAATAAGAGCTGAAATTTTTAAGAGGATTTATGAATTAAATACACAAATACATAGTGGTTTTATGATATTTGAAGGGATATGAAATTTAAAGGATTTGTGTTTTCAGAATCTTTAATTCATGTCTAGACTTCAATTTTAACCTCAGTAGTGTTCAAGTTCGAAATTGACTCTTTGAATCAAATTATTTTTAGACAAACTCAGAAGAAACTAAGCTGATGTTGCAAAAGTTTCTTACTCTGCGAAGCTTAGAAGCCGGGGTTTACAAAAACCCAGTATTAATTCATTGATTTTCCCAGTTTTATTCAATTTTTAAGCTCTTAAGTTATTTTTGAAAGGAGCAAGTGATTAAAGCTTGAATCCGTTAGAATCTTTGCCTAAATTTTTTATGCAAATTTAGCTCTATTTTTTCAGAAGACACTGGAAATCACTGATGACAGACAAATAATCAACACATACATTGATGATGAGCCCACATTTGACGAAGTTACTTTTAATGAAAATTTTTAAATCTTATCACTTGAAGTCGGAGGAAGATTTTCGTTCTCACAAACTTGAAAAATTGAAAGATCTTATCATTTAGGGATAGAATAATAATAATGAATATTAGAATAATGGGTAATTTTGTAATATTAAATCAAACAATAGGTATCCAAATTTAATTTCATGCCAACCTATGAAATAGCGTTTTGATTCTTTACCGCTCATAATTTTTATAATTTTTTAAAACAAGTAGAAGCACAATAATAATCTTTATGTTAAAAGTATTTTTACATTTAAAAATTTTTTATTGCTTATTATATCTAAACACTAAGCTGTTGAATTTGAATTGCTTACGATAATTTAATTTAAACAGCTCTTTATTATTGAAATGATCAAATAGAATCGTTATAAGAAAGAGTTATTTGAGATGGAATATGTCTGAGTGATAAAATTAAGGCCATAGAATCAGCAAATGAAATAGAATCAAAGGAAAGCTCAACAAGTTTGGCAAGTATTGCATGTTATGACCATTTTGGGAGGCCTTTTCCAGGCTTTCTATGTCCGCTTATTAAAATTATAGCACACGAATATGGAAGATGGAGATCAAAAGTTTGACTTTTAATAATCTTTGTAGTAAATTCAGTTCAACACCAATTAAGGCACTAAAACTAGCAATCATTATTATCATACACAAGCTACAATGTAACAATAATAATTACTTTTTTAGCGCCTCATTTAATATTATTATTTTTATGTTGAACTGATCTATCCACATATCTTTGATCTTCTACACTTGAAGTTGACTAATCTATTTCCGTTTCACAGCAACGGCAGACATTCATTTTAGGTGAAAGAAAATTTGACTTGCGAAGATTTAATGAATTTGAACACTCATCCTTGTGATCACAATACCAGTTCATGTGTTGTAGTTGCATTGCCTAACAGTCATTTGATATTGGGTTGTATGGATGACCATGTTTGTTTTCTCTAAGTTAAATTTTTTGGTTTGGAAACTTGAAGATATTATAACATTACTGCCAAAATTATATTTTACTCTAAATTTTTGAGTCCAAATTTTGAATAATTGCTTATAAGATCAAAAGTGTTCTGATCTGTAGTAATTATAGCTGTTTATTTTCAATTAGATGTTAAGTACTGATTCTTATTATTATTATTTCAGACCGGAAAATTTGTGGCTCCTCATAACTGGCAAAGAACTAAGCATAAAAATTATTTATTAGACTTTAGAGGTTAGTTGGGTCTTTCGTTTTGCTCTGTAAACTGAAATTTATCCAAAATAACAATCATTCTAAATTAATAATAACTGAGCGATAATTGTGTTCAATGAACAGATATTCATATGATTAGTGAATTTTACAAATTGAAAATTATTGAAGTTTGATAAATGCAAATATTCACGAAGTTATTTTGTGAAAGCTTATAACAGACTTTCTTTACATCTAGCTAAAGAATGACTTTGGCGACTTTGCTCCTGCAAATACAAAAAAGTAAGAAATAGCAAAATACAATTTCAGTTTCAGGTAATACGTGTGAGTGTTTGGATTGGATAAGTAAGTGAAGGTGGTGTCCGTCCAGTTGTATCAATCATAACAGATATTAAGACTAATCTTTACAAGCTAATCTAATTTTAGTTGATAATCCATTCCCATTACTGCAACATTGTCGAAGAGACAAAAATGACCAACCTGTGTGTATGCGAAACAATTTGTTCTATCGGAAGTTTCCAATACTTCAACAATTTACATGCTGTTGCAAAGGCGACTTCTGTGCTGATGCACTATTTGACCAGGTTTGCCTATCACATCTAAGGCAAAAAACCTATGCTTATTTTTGATAGCATGTGATAATAGTAAAGTAGTAAAAATAGTAATAAAAATTGTGCAACAGTAATAGTGACAAGAGCAAATATGCACACATAACTAATGTTAAATATCTTCGTTTTCACTTAATATTTAATAAAAGTTTTACTTTTTTAAACCTTTGATTAGAGAAGTAGATATGGCTTTAGAAAAAGACGCAATAAAAAATTCTCTTATATTTATAAGGTAAAAATCAAAATGAGTTTAATAAAACTGCAAGTTTTTGACTTATTTTAGGTGGATTATAGGAAAATCAAAGTTTGACAGTCTCTCAAGTTATTTTTTTGATAAAATTTTACTACATTAACTTTTCAGGCTGGCTTCAATCCCCTACCATTTCTGCATTTATCAACGAGTGTAAACATCAGCAGTTGATGAAACCCATTTCATTTATTGACTTTATTGTTGTAATTTTGTTATTACTGTAAAAAGATTGTTTTTCTTTGTATATTTACATATGCAAATTAGTGACTTTTATTTTGCAACATTATGTAATGCAATGGCAAATAAAAAGTAAGTAATTTTATTGTATTGTACAGGAACAAATATTAGTTGGAAGAAGCCTTGAGAACTGAAACTGAAGTGCAATTCGATGCATACAAGTTAAGAAGATACTGTGGTTTTAAAACAAAAAAATACAGATGAGTAACAGTTCTAAAGGCAACCCTAAAACTTCTCTTGAGCAACAAATTATTAACAAATTCCATTTAATATGAAATTGTTGCACTACAGAAAATTCTTTTCGAATAAGTGTGTAATACTTATTTTAAGAATTATTTCTAGTAAGCTTAGCTTGAAGTTAGTTGAACCGCAATTTTGTAAAATATTAAATATAAATTTTTAATTTATAACTATAAGATAACATGTTTTAGGATTTAAAAGTTGATTAAATTTTGTAAAACAGAACCGATTTGATTTCACAAAAAAATTTCAAAGATTTGTTTATTATTTCTTATATTTCAAATGAATAACTGACTAAAACTACAATCATGTGAAAGATAATACTTTTCTCTGTATTTTTTTACCAAAAATCAGTAAATAATCAGTTTCTAGTCCCTGATGCATTAATAAGCTAGCCATTTAATCAGAGCTAAGTCAATTAAAATATCACTTAACAAGGGATGATTCTGTTAAATGCAACAATTTTCATTTGTAATTAATATAGTAATGAGACAAAAAAGTAAGTTAAATGATAGTAATCTGATCAAATGATAATTCGCTTGAAGATAGCATTCAGATAAGACTGATAAAATTATATGGCTTGAACAACAGCTGACCTGAATATTCCAACATGATGTGATCAGAAGAAATGATCGGACGAAACTCACATAACAAAAATGGAATTCAAAAACAACATAAAAAAGCAATGTGTATATACATAAATTCCAATTAAACATAAAAAAATATCAAATTCGACAAGAATAATCAACAACAATTCATAGAATAATATTATAGTGGCAATTGCCAACAATAGTCTGATAGCGATAATTAATATGAAAGTGTCAAGTTAAATTTCAATGTTACAACATGAAAAAATTTGTTAGGATGGAATGATCACATCATTTTGCTATTCGGAAGTTTAGACTTAATATTTAACTCTTAAGCAAACAGAACTTTGGCTGTGTGCGTGCTTCAAATTGCATTTCATGCAGTCTTAAGTAAAATTGCATCTGAGCGACTTAATTTTTTGCGTCACTTTCACATATTTCTTAGAAACGAATTGAAGATGCGAATTAAATTCGACAAAATGTTGTTGACAACACATACGAAATTCAGTCTATAAACTAACATCTATTTTTTTGCTTTTTGTTGCTTTGGTAGATTGATTTCGATTCGCTTTTGCCGAAAAAGGAATGACGGAGTTTTTAGTTGAGAAGCGAAACTGTCTACTTCCTTTCGAAAACTAAACACAAAAAAGTTATCTTCATGAAGTAACTCAGATGAACCAAACGAAAATACTATTCTCAGCAACATTTTTTGCAATGCCTTTCCAGAAAGTTTGTAAGTACTGATTCACATTTTTTATTTTTGTAGTCGCATACTTAGTTTCTCAATTAATGCGTATGTTATGCAGAAAAAGAGAAACGAAATGGTTTGATTGAAAGCCAAAAATCCCTCATA